AGTGTGAGTGTGTGTGTGTGTGTGTGTGTGTGTGTGTGTGTGTGTATACATGTGTATATTCCCACACAAATATGCAGGAGAGGCTGACGAAAGCACGCACATAGCTAAGTTTCCTAGATATAAAATTATTTAGACTTCATTTTACTCTTCAGAGTAACTGCTGCCTAATTTAGCCTTTCTCATTGAGGGGAAGCTACAGAGAACATGCAGTCTGACATAGAGAAAGATGAAGGAAACAATGAAATCAGAAGAAAATTTGAATCACACTATTAATGTAATATCAAGGGATTAGTTGGGTAAGCTACGGAAATATTTTCCCCCAGATTAAAGGCAAATAGGAACTCTGCTAAAGCAAAACATTTTTAATGTTGAATATTCTGTCTTGATTCCCCCCCCTCCAAGGATTAAATAATTTTATCAGCTTTTTTATGAGCGAAAACCATGGTAAATAATGTACCTACTTAGGGTGTAAAATAAACAGTTTTATCTGAGTCCCAACGGACTTCTTTGCCAGGGGCAGCTCTTTTACATAGACTTTGTATATATAACATTTCCCCCTTTGGGTCTCACCAATGATTTGGTTAAGTCTCTGTCATTATTCACATGCCAGTCTGTACACAGCATGCGAACAGTTGGATGCTCAAAGCATTCTTATTTAAAATGATCTTTCATTCAGACTTCCTGGGATTCGAACAAATATTGGTTCTGGTTGTAAATGGATAGGTTCTGTAGCCAGAGCAATTCCTTAGAGTAAGGACAAGGAATTAAGAACCATAGTAGATGTAAACTTGAAATGCCAGTTTATATACCACTTTAGTGAAACAAGTATTTACCACAGTATCAACTTTATGAGAGTTAAATGCAAAATAAAATCTAACAAATCTATTCACAAACTCCTTCCTAGGTAGGGTTGTTTGTATGGACTGTTTTGATGCACCTTTTGGGAATTAAACAAGACAGAAATTAATTTTATGATGTTTTCTTTCTCCTCTCTTACTTCCACCCCTAATTCCCTTCATGCTCCAACTTCCTACCTTGTTTTTGTAGGTTCTGGTAACAATTGTTCTTGTCAGTGGATTGCATTTTAATCAAGGCATGGGTTCCTGTTTAATTATTATCTCAGCGAGTGTTTGCACCGTAAGTTTTTCTTTTGCGAATTCTGGAACTCATTTCTCTTACTAAGACAAGGGTGAGTTGATGGGGGATCCTCTGGAAGCCTGTGCACTTTAACATTTATTTCTTTACTTGACCATTTACCTGACTTAGCATAGATGTTGAGGGTCTAAAGTGAGGAAGAATGGTCACTGCTCTCAATGTGGGGCCTCCTGTGGGAGAGACCTAGGTGACTGCCAAGCTCCTCACACATGCCATCTGATTTAATGTTCACAGCAGTCCTTTAAGAAAGTTGATTTAGGGAACCAGCAGTTAGCGTTATGGCTATGTCACTGGACTCCCACATAGTCGACCGCGGTTCATGTCCCGGACCCGGTGGCTTAAAACTCACGCCGGGCGCGTGTGCGTGCGTGCTCAAGATCCCAAGAGGAGAATGGAGGAGAAGGGATTGTGGCGTGACCATCCCCCCTGGGGGGTGATTTCTCGCTTTCTGTCTCTATGTCTCTCTCTGTCTGTCTGGCGAGCGCACGCACCCTACAGTGAAAATCTCTCCAAAAGGAAAAAAAAAATTAAATTAAAAAAAAGAAGAAAAGAAAAAAAAAAAAGAAAGTTGATTGTGGTGTGGTGCTTCAAGGCCCTGGACTCCCACTTGGCCAACCATGGTTCAGGTCTCAGAGCTGGTGGCTTCCTTTCTCTCTTTCTCTCTCTGTATCTCTCTCTTTGATCAGATTGGAAAATAAAAATAAATAAAGCCAAAATAAAGTAATTCTTTAAAAAAAAAAAACTGATGTATAGAGTTTAACCAAATGCTAAAATCGAACATAGTACTTTGAAGGTCTTTCTCATGTGTGACCCTTCCACAGCTTTTGATGACACTATGCATTCTCTTTTTGAAAATTTTCCTTACTTCTAAAATGCTGCATCTCACCTGTGTGCATCCTCCCTCCCCACACTGTGTTCCTCAGCTTTCTGCCCCACCCCCACCCCCAGTGCACTTCATAGGGTGTGGATTCCCCCCAGGTCCTGTCTTTGTATTCTGTATTCTTCTACTTGATAGCCAGTTTGCTGCCCCGAACCTGTGTCCTCAGTGCAGGCACCTCTGTTTCCAGCTCCCCACTGGTGACCTGCCCGTCTTTATGTTACCATCTCTGGCCCCTGCAGTAAAGCGGGTATGGGTAAATGTTAAGGTAAAGAATTCTCTTACACTTTTCCATGGGGCGAGGGGAGAAGCTGGCAGAAAAAAGTGAACTCTATTTCTGTCATGGGTTCCTAAGAAGTACCAAAGTGTCCTGACCCCAGGTCTGCCAACAGCCTGGTCAGAGTGAGCCAGAGCGCCATTTCCTTCTCTTTCCTGAACTCTTCCCCAACCCCATTCCCCCTCTCCCTGCCCCAACAGCTGTGGATGACTACTGGGATGTTGGGCATGATTGTAGCCTGAGAGTAAGTGCCTGTTTCAAACTCCATTTTCCTGAGGTCACAGAGTCTTTGTTTCTGTCCCTAACACAGTTCCACAAAGGCCTTGGTGATATATGTGTGTCAATCAGAGGAAAGGTTTATCTTGAATTTTCCTGGGAAGGACTTATGAAATGGTAGGTGCACTAGTCCATTCTGCTGCTAATAGGAGAAAATATCTGAATCCAGGTCATTTATAGAAATAGCAATTCATGATTCGGAGACCAAGGTCCAGTGATCACATCTGGTGGGTGTTTGGCAGAGTTCTGAGGCATCACATCCTTTTTTTCCTAATCATTATTTTATTTATTTATTTATTATTGTTTAAATTTATTTATTTATTTACTTATTTATTTATTTTTAATTTGACCAGAGAGGGACAGAGTGAGAGAGAGAGAGAGTGAGAAAGCAAACCGCCAAGTCTGGGACCCAAACTGCGATCAGCCATATGGGAGTCCAGCGCCCTTACCCGCCATGCCACATGCCGGCCCCTATTTATTATTTTTTAGGTTGCTATAGTATCGAGAGAAAGAGTGGAAAAGTGAGAACGCAAGCTTCCAGGTCAAAGATTTGAACTGCGATCGACCATGTGGGAGTGCAGCGCCCCAACCACCATGCCACCCACTAACCCCTGAGGCATCCCATCTTAAGGGCTAGAGCAGAGCAGAGTGCTTGTGTCCATGAGTCGTTGTCTGTTCTGGTCTCATTCCTTCTCCTTATAAACCCCCTCAGGACTTCATTATGGAGGTCCCACCCTGATGCCTAATCACTTCCCCAAAGCCCCCACCCTTCAGCACTATTATCAGATTGAGTCTCCTCTTAATACCATCACAACCAAATCTCAACACATTCATTTTGGGGGTGATGTTCAAACTATAGCAGCAGGTAATAACCCAAGCTTTGGAGGAAAGCCTAGTTGGAATTCAACTCTAGCCAGGTCAGTATGGGCAGGCCACCCCACTTCTCTCCATCTGAACAGTGAGGTTAATGATGACAGCTGCCAGGATGAGAAGAGATCTGTAGGTAAAGTGCTTAGGACACCGACGTCCATTGAGAAAGTGCTCAGTGCGCGTTGGCTCTTACCATGATCACTGTGTCACCATTGTGAATGGGCGACTGCGGGAACAGGAGGTCACTCAGAGTTCAAAGATCCTCGATTTGTAAGCCATAGTTTGTCTCCTGCCTGGTTTGAGTAGCTGTAAAAGGAACCATTCAAGACTTTGGGGTTAAAGACATTGATCAAGTGCAAGCTCCTGGCATTCTTAGCCTCTCGGTTATATGAGGGGACTTCAGAAAAGTTTGTAGAAAAATGGAATTCGGGCCAGCTGGGTGGTGCAGCAGTTAAGACCATTCAAGCAATACTGGACCCATACGGTTCCCCTGTTGACCAGTGCATGCTGGGCGTATCCACCCATGATCCTGGCTAGCCAGGAGGGAGGGTTGTAGGGGATCAGGGTGTATGACCTTGTTTAGGGTGCTTTTCTTTCTCTCTGTTTTAGAGAAAGAGTGGAATTAAAGTCATGGGTACAGAAACTCTTTTAAATCCATGCATAGCTTTTTCATAATACACATTTTCTATTAACTTTTTTTTATTTTTAAGGTTTTTGCCATAGGATATGTGCACTACCAGAGAAAAACAGAGAGAGGGAAAGTGAGAAATAGGGGGGGAGCATATGCTACAATCCCTTTTCCTCCATTCTCCTCTCAGGATTTTGAGCACATACGTGCACACACTTGCTGTGATTTTCAAGCCGCCAGGGCTAGGACTGTGTTCAGCCATGTGGGAGTCCCCCATCTTAACCATCACTCCACCTGCTGCCTCACTCCCCCATGAATCTTTTGAAGACATCTTTATGTTCCACACGGTAGTCAGGCAGTCCATACCAAGGCTACATTTCCTAAAGCTGCGATATGTCTCGAATAGGATTACGTTTTGTGATTCTCACTTCTGTCTGATGGTCGCTGTCTGCTGGCCTTTGTTCTTCTGTCTCTGGTCTGCACGTGGTCTAGTACGGGGCACTTGTATGCCAGTGTCACCTACAGAAATGTGCATTAGGTGGTCGGAGAGCAAGGACTGAAGGTTTTCTGGTCCATTCGCCAGGTACATTTGGACTCTCGGGACTGTGTCCAGGGAGAGAGAGTAAGAAAGCCTTCGGTACGAGTTCCTGCACAATCCACACTGTGTTTTCTTCTCCAGGACCTGCAAATCGAACGCGAGAGGAGCTCCTACAACATATCTGGCGGCTGCACAGCCCTCATTGTGGTTTGCCTTCTGGGGAAGCTGTACGTTGCAAATGCTGGGGACAGCAGGTAAGCCCAGCAGTGGTCTGCTGCTTGCTCATTTCTAGTACTTTCTGTAATTTCTAGTTTTGTTAAAATATATATACATAGAGATAGATAGATAGATGCATATATATATGTGTGTGTGTATATATATATGTATGTATGTATATATGTGCATCTATAAAGTAAAATAATCGTGCATGGTTAAGATATTGACAAAGTTAAGCCTTCTACCTCAGAATGAAAATGCACTTAAGAAGAGCCATCAGGTCGGTATTAAAAGGTAAAGGCCGCCTTTTACTTGTCCGTGGAAACAATCCTAGTATATCCTTGTGAGTCATGGGAACCAGTAGCACTGAAGTGGGTCTTGTCTTCAGAATCAGTTTTCCAAACTTAGCAAAGGCTTAATATGAGAGCAGGGAGGGGGAGCAGAGAGATTTGAATACGGTGAATGTTGGGAGGGGTGCCTAAGAGGACTGCCCAGTGATTCCACTTCTACTCAATGACCTTGCGGCGTCCCCTCCCAGGAGCCCAGAAGTTTTTCCTTTTATGCACATGCCCTTGAAGACTGCAGCCTTCTTACTTCCGGGTTCAGCTAAAGGGAATTTGGGCTAGGACCTCATAGTTAACCCTTACTTGATCCAGCATTGCCGGGGTAAAGATAAACTTGCACATTAATTGTATGTTTAATAACTGCTGCTGCTTCATTTCGGGTACGAACAATTTTTTTAGTGACAGACTGCATGAGAATTGTTCTACTGGGTCTGACACACGTCTCTGTCTCTCAGTAACAAAGTGTGCTGGCTAGATATACCTTCTCCTCATGATTGACTTATTCTGAAAATAGCAGAAGTACTGGACTTCAGGACTGTAAACACCATGCCCTCTGACGACGAGCAGTTTTCCTCCAAGAGCAGCATCTTAGGATTCTCTCAACCCTCCGTCCCTGTCCTCTAGGTCCCATGCCTCCTTCAGTTCTCCTTGCTTTGGTCCCCCCTCGAGGTCTGACGCCCACTCCCGTCCCCTTCCCTGTCCTCTGCTCAGGTGGGTGCTGCTGCTTCTGTAACCTCCCTTGAGGCAATCAGGAAACTGACCTTAGGTCCACCTGCAGTGGTGCAAGCACGAGGACACCATTGCATGGTGGCCGAGGACACATGGGACGCCTGAGTTCTGTTCTTGGCCCAAACCTCATAGGCTGGGTGGGGTGGCCTGTGCCTGGGGTCCCAGCTCACTGGGAGACAGGGAAGGAGGATGGCAAAGCGATGAGGCCTAGGCCTGGGAATCCCCCCTTCCTCCCGTTAGAGCTTCTTGTCCCAGATGTTCCCGATGAAGAGCCCAGAGAAAAAGGAGAGTGGCCAGTGGAGGCAGCGGTTTCAAGGTTTGAAGATGGATTTGAAGGTCCATTTATTTTATAAGTATACGTGGGTTTGCTATTTTTCTCTGTTAAGACATCTGGGGTTTCAGTGTGAACGCATGCCAAGTAAATGGGAATTATGTGTCGCATACTGGGTCCCCATGGCTTCTAGTCCCCAGTGCCAGGTCAGGCTCTGGTAGGAGTCAGACCCCGACTTCAGGTGGGTCGGCTGGGAGTGAAAGAGTAAAAGGGAGCCATCCAGGGGTCCCGAGGCTCCAGGAAGGAGCTGATGGCCCCCAGCCCGCAGAACCAAGGCAGGAAGTGCTAGAGCAGAGCCCTAGGAGACTGGACACCTTAGTGAGCAGCCACTAGGCGGGAGCTATGGCAGGGGCAGGAGCAAATACTCACTCCTCTCTCTCCTTGCCCTCCTGTCTCTTGCCAGGCTTCCTACTCGCTGAGCCCGCTGAAAGCCAGCTGACAGGTAGCTCAGAGAGGTAGCCCCGGGAATGCCAGTCACAGAGGTCAGCATGCCAGGCCAGACCCAGGCCATGGCTGCACCTCCAGGCTGGGACAAGAGGAAACTAACCAGCACATCTGCCTCCACTCCCTTCCTTCCCCTCCCCAGGGTTTGAGCAGCTTCAAGACAGGAATCCTCAGACTTCAGAGGCTTTTATCTTATTGTTGATTGTTTTCCTCTGTGCATTGGCAGGGCAGGGTAGGAACAGTCTGACAGAGATAGGTGTATTTCAGATTCTCACTGTGTCACCATCCTCCTCCCGATCAGCCAGGATTAAAGGTGAGTCCCACTGCATCACCACTTGCAGGTCCAGGACCAGAATCTGGGCCTCCCAAGCAGTCTCCACCCACCCAAGAGGTGGCTCTGTCTGTGCACCACCATGGCTGGGCCTTCGGGGCCTGCCTCCCAAGCAGTCTCCACCCACCCAAGAGGTGCACCACCATGGCTGGGACTTCGGGGCCTTAAAAAAACACATGTTGAGGGGCCAGATTCACTTCTTGTTCAGTTCTAGGTCTCGAGCTTGTTGAGAGACAAAGGAGTAACTGAGGAGGCGAGTCCTTTCTCTCCCCACTAAGAATGAATCATGAATTCATCTTTTGCCTGTATGTCAAGTTTCAGGTCCTTTAAAGTGATTTGCTTTCCCAGCCCACCTAGTGACTCAAAAGATGGCCAAGCGCCTCCCTCCCTGGGCAGTAGGCCCATCCTCACCCCCGAGGGAGTCCCTCTTGTCAGAAGGCCTCAGACTCAGAAGTCAGCTTGACTTCCAGGCTAAGCATCTTGTGTTAGAGTCCCCTTCTAGACTCGACTCTTCCTCCACACTTCTCTGTTTGTTTGTTTGTTTGTTTTAATTTACCAGAAGGTACATGCATTCACCAGAGAGCCAGGCAGAGAGATAAAAAGAGAGGGAGAGGGAGAAAGCACTCTTTGATAGGGCATGGTTATGCCACGATCCCTTCTCCTCCATCTCTCCTTTCTGTTGGGACTTGGAGCGTGTAGGCATGTGTCTGGCATGCTTCTCAGGCTAGTGGAGCTGGAATTCCAACATGGTCCATCATGTGGGACCTGTGGGATCTGGCTGCCTCAACCACCAGTCGACCTTGGAGCC